TACTGTGGGATGAAGGGGTTGCTCCATATGGGTGAGCAATCACGGGATCTCCAGAACAGATCATGCAGCTTATGTGGAGAACTCCCAAACACAGCTTGCTCAAGAGCCTCAAATATCTCCTAGAGGAAAAAAAAACCACAACTTATCCCACTATTTCCAGCCTATACACCAGGATCAGGAGTTCTCCTGCCTAAACTTAACCAGAAACACCCAGGGCCATCCTGCTTTTAGCCCTGAGCAGGAGTGGGTGCAAGGCACCCTTCACTCCTCCCTTCCCATATTCAACCAGCATTCGCTGCCCATCTTCCAAATCCAAACCTGCACTTACTGGTTGTTTTTACTGGCTGTGACACGTTCAAGAGCAAGAGCTACCAGTCTTTGGATGCTTCAGGATCATTTCATTACTTGCCTATGGACTTTATTCTAACAAGGGTCTGCCTTTTCTATCTCTAGGTTTTCTTGTTAGCAGTATTTCATATTTCCTCAAGAAGAAATTAGATGGGGCATGAGGAGAAAATGTTTCCCAGCAAGAGTGGTCCGAGAGTGGAACAGGCTGCCCAGGGAGGGGGGAGTCCCCATCCCTGGGGGGGTTTCAGGGCCGTTGGGATGAGCTGTGGGGGATGTGGGGTAGGGGAGAACTTTGCAGAGTCGGGCTGAGGGTTGGACTCGCTGGTCCCGAGGGGCTTTTCCAACCAGAATGGTTCTGGGGTTCTGTGAGAACACTAAGCCTCAGCAAGCTTGGTGAGGGGCAGTACAGTCCCTGCAAGTCCAGGAAGCCTTCTTCAGCGCTCCAGACCACGGGGGCTGTGTGGGAAATGAGATAGAGTTCGCTCAGGACACTTAATACAAATCATTTGAAGCAACGAGGATTAACTTTGGAGACTCAAATGCTGTATTAAGAGTATTTTAACTCTCCCTTTTGTCACCGCACAGGCGGAGAGTCACACTTAAAATGTGGAAAGCTAGGAATGAAGCCATCAACCATAAAAACCAAATTTTTCTCTTTAGAGAACCCTCACCCAAGAACCTCCCAGTTTACAAACTGCACTGGTTTGGGCTGGGGTGGTGTATTCATTCTCTTCACTGCAGCCCGTATGTGTCATCAAAACGGTGTTGATAACACACCAGGGGTTTAGCTATTGCTAAAGCACCAAGACCTTTCTCTGGTTCTTCCTCTGCATGCCCCAGCGAGGAGGCTGGGGCTGGGCAGGGGGATGGAAGGGGACACGGCTGGGCCAGCTGAGCCCAAATGACTGACGGGATCTTCTGTACCACGTAATGCCACGCTCAGGCATAAAACTGGGGTAAAAGGGGGGAGATTTTTTAAAAAGTATCCATTGCCTGACACTGGCTGGGCATCAGTCTGTGGGTGGAAGGTAGTGGGTGATTTCCTTTCTCTTCATTTATTAAACTGTCTTTATCTTGAACCACAAGTTTTCTTTTTTTTACCCTTCACACTCTCTCCTCAGTTCTTCTGAGGGACTGGAGGGGAGTGAGCCACTGGGTGAGGGCTACACACTCACAGAGCAGAATCACAGAATCGTTTAGGTTGGAAAGGAACTTTAAGATCATGGAGTCCAGCCATTAACCCAACTCTGCCAAGGCCACCACTGAACCATGTTCCCAAGCACCACATCGACACGTCTTTTAAATACTCCAGGCATCGTGACTCCACCACTTCCCTGGGCAGCCTGTTCCAATGATTGACAACCCTTTCAGTGAAGAAATTGTTCCTAATATCCAGCTTAAACCTTCCCTGGTGCAACTTGAGGGTGTTTCCTCTTGACCTATCACTTGTTACTTGGGAGATCAACGCACACCTTGCTCCAATCTCTTTTCAGGCAGTTGCAGAGGGCCAGGAGGTCTCCCCTCAGCCTCCTCTTCTCCAGACTGAATCCCCCCAGTTCCCCCAGCCGCTCCCCAGCAGACCTGTGCTCCAGACCCTGCCCCAGCTCCGTTGCCCTTCTCTGGCCATGCTCGAGTCATTCAATGGCCTTTTTGGGGTGAGGGGTCCAACACTGAACCCCCTCAGCGAGGGGCGGCCTCCCCAGTGCCGAGCCCAGGGCTCAGATCCCTTCCCTGTCCCTGCTGGCCACGCCAGTGCTGACACCAGCCAGGATGCCACTGGCCTTCTTGGCCACCTGGGCACACCACCAGCTCATATTCAGCCAACTGTTGACCAACACCCCCAGATCCTTTCCCACCAGGCAACTCTCCCACCGCTCTGCCCCAAGCCTGTAGCATTGTGTGGGGTTATTGTGCCCCAACTGCAGGACCCAGCACTGAGCCTTGTTAAACCTTGTACAGTTGGCCTCAGCCCATCGCTCCAGTCTCTCTAGATCCCTCTGTAGACCCTTCCTACCCTCCAGCACATCAACACTCCTGTCCAACTCAGTGTTGTCTGTGAACTTCCTGAGGGTGCACTCGATCCCCTTGTCCAGACCACTGATGAAGAAATTAAACAGAACTAGCCCCAGTACCGAGCCCTGGGGAACACTGGGCTGCCAACTGGGTTTACTTCCATTCGCCAAAACACTTTTGATCTCAGCTGTCCAGGCAGTTTTTTACCCAGCAAAGAGTGTGCCTACCCAAGCCACAAGCAGCCAGTTTCTCCAGGGGAACGCTGTGAGAAAGTGTTTTAGAGGCTTTACTAAAGTCCAGGTAGACAAGACCCCCAGCTGACAGATGCAGCCTTCAGGGACACGTGAGACTCCTTCAGACTGACTGGCTCTATTTCCAGATGAGAGATCTCTTTGTACTAATAAAGAAAACATTTTCCTTCCAAAAAAGTTAAAGACCCGTAGGAGGCAGGAGCACGGGGGAGAGCTAAGCTCGTCGGGAACCAAACGGCTCTCCATCCCTTCTCTCCGCAGCATAACAGTGGGAAGGGGGCTGAGGGCTCCCTCGGCCGGGCCGAGCAGGGAGGGGGCTCCTGCGGGTGCTGCCCCCGCCGCGCTCCGTTTCATCACCACGGACAGCGGCCCCGGGCCCTGCCCGCACTGTCCTGCCCGCACCGCTCACCCTGCCCGCACTGCCCGCACCGCTCACCCTGCCCGCACTGCCCTGCCCGCACCGCTCACCCTGCCCGCACTGTCCTGTCCGCACTGCTCACCCTGCCCGCACTGCCCGCACTGTCCTGCCCGCACCGCTCACCCTGCC